GCAGACAGTGAGGAAGCATTGTGACACTGTGACACCAACAGTGGAGGCTTTAGCTGAGGAGGTTGGCTGGAGGGCAATTTTCTTCACCAACAAGCTGCAGCTGCAGATGCAGATTAGTCGCCGGAAGCAGAAGGAGAATCAGCACTGTGAGGATAAAAACGAGCCGAGTCCCTCTTCAGTACCTTTGGAGTAAACCATTGAAGACGACACTATTTTTGCTTGCATTGAAGATTCACTCTTGCAAATAGTGTGCACGCACTGACTTTGTTGTACATCTGACCGACTGTTACATTTGCTCAAATCTAAAATGTTTTTGAGCCAAAGAACCAGTTTTAGGTGAAATATATATTTACGCTGCATTTCACATCTGGTAAAACAAACACCTAATAGCAAATTTTCTGGCATAATTATTGCAGTCTTTGGGGTTATTTTAATACATTATGCCAGCATGTGTTTTCTCTACTTTACCTAACATAACTACCACAGTTCCAACAGTATTGTCCTGTCAGATGCCAATTTTTGTGAATAAAAACCTAAAATGTAGAAAATGTTGAATGTTATGTTGTTGCAAAAAACAGTCCTATTTTGTTCATTCAAATAAATAGCACATTTCAATTATATATTCTATACAGTATATTCAAATATTTCAATTATTAGTAAAAACACTGGTATAAAAAGTGCAATTTAGCCATCATAGCTCATCTGTTGCTGGATTCCTTTGAAGCATAACTAGATAACCATGGCAATCCAGAATTCGCTTTAGCAGTCATTAAACCTGTCAACACCAATCATATCACAAATATTCTCAGAATTTATCACCTCGGCTCTCCTTGATCATTTTAAATAACGGTATGCTTGAGATAATAAGACAAGTTATTTATGGGCATGGGGTTAAACTACACCCCTCATACGCTCAGTAGATTACTGTTGCGTGGCAATGTGTCACTACACAGGAAAAGACCATGCGTGGGGGGATGTTGGAAACCTGAGATGCTGTGACTAGACCGCTGGCTGCAGGTGAGAATCACTCAGATGATCTGCATCTGTGAATAAGCATGACAAAGACCACTGGGAAGGATACTGAAAGGCAAAGTTGTTCATTTTGGCTCCAAACAAGCTGAGGAAGAAGGTGTTTCTGAGATTGAACAATTTATTAATCAAGCTCCAGTAACAAGTGACATATCAAAAATGACTAACACCAGTGATCGGATGGATTTGGCTTTTGTGCTTCAAACAGGTGAGTGGATTTCTAGTTTTCTCACACTAAACTGTAAAATGTTGTCCAAAAAGTTGTATTGGTCAGATTTCTAGTGTTTTCTTGAACACAACACGGGCATCTGCTTCTGTTGATTTGTGACTTCATGTTCTCAATCTCCATCTAGCTAACATTGTTTTTTGACTTTTTTTCAAGTGACCAGCTCCAATCTTGCTGATAGCAATAGGCTTTTGGAGACCATAAAATCATTTGTCCACTTTGGAGCTTTCATTGTCACTGGTCTCTTTACCTGCCTCATCATAGCAACAGTGCGGAACAACCAGCAGCTGCATCAGAACCCTCGCTACATCCTATTGTGTCAGCACTGCATCTGTGTGACCGGCTTCAACATTATGGGCGCAGTTGTACACGCTCTTCGCAGCCTACGTTGGCCAGTCTCTCGAATCACCTGTTGGATCCTCTTCGACCTGCAGGTGGTGATGGCACGAGGTTTGATGATCACCCTCACACTGATGTCCATCAGCACTTGTCTGTCCATTTGCATGCCACTCCGCTACCCCATTCTGGTCCAACGCTTCTACCGCTGGGTCGCATT